CGGGGATTCCTCCCCCCATGGCTTACCTGAGAGGCTGGTGCGTGACTCCTGCTGGGCGAGATGGGCTAAGGTCTCTAAGGCTTCAGCAGCAGGCCCAGGTTCCTGGTGGGAGGAATCCCTTTAGAGCAATTGGGGGCAGCCCAGATGCCCCCTAACTCCATCCCCAGGCCTTCCCCTCCTCCTGTGGCTTTGCACCCCTGGCATCTAAGAGGCGGCTTCCTTTCCCACCCCCTCCCCCACAGGCAGCCCCTTCCTTGGAGTTGGGCGGGGGGGGAGTGTGCAGGGCAGATGCCCAGATCCCACTGCCCCCCAGCCCTCCATCCCCCAATCACTCCTACCTCCTGACAGGCACTGTCTGGTTCTTCTGGGTCATCATGGGGTGGAGGGGAGGTGCCCCTGGGTGACCTGCGGGTGGGGAGGGCATCCTGGTGAGAAGAGAGTATCCCCTGCCCCTCCCCAGATCAGATCAATGGGCCCATCTAACGCAGTAGCCTGTCTTCCCCTCTCCCTGCCCAGGAGCAGACCTGTGGGCCCATCCAATCCGGTATCTCCCTCCCACAGCTCCAGGCCAGACTGTGTTCCTATGTGGGGGGGTGGCTGGAGCCCTGGAGTGGAAATTCCTTTAGCACCGAACAGCTAAAAGCTTCTGTGAGGGGGGTGGATTCCATTAGGGGCATGAGAGCAGAGTCCCCTGGGGGGGCATGGAGCTGGTGGGGGGATGGAATGGGGAAAGCAGCATCCCTGGGGCAGGTAGGGAGCTGGGATGGAGAGGCTGCTGCTGCCCCACAGGGCAGATCAACCCCCACCCAATGAGGCTGAGCTGTCTGCCCCCCTCCATGGGTCCCTGACTCCTGGGCATGCCACAGTCTAGTTGTGACCCCCCCTGACCCAGCCATGTCCCCCAGAGGACAACTGCCCCATGGATCCAGTGTTACATATTAACCCCCCTTCCCCAACTCTGTCCCTCCACCCCCAGTCACTAGAGGTGGAGAGGCCCAGATGCCAACCCCACCACCCCACTCTTACCCCTCAGCAGCGTCCATCATCTGTTCCCCCTGCTCCAGCGCCTTCTCCTGCAACAACAGAGTGGGTTAAAACAGACTCAGCTGCAACCCTTTCAGTGACACCCCAGAGAGCCCCAGTCCCTCTCCCAACACTGTGGTGACCCCCCAGGAACCCCAGTCTCTGTTCCCCACTCTGCAGTGACACCTGCCAGCACCCCACATCGGTATTGGCACCATACAGGGATACCCAGTATTAGCCTGCTCCTAATATGGGGATGACATTGTAGAGGATTGGGCACCTCCGAGCCACTGACTAAGACCACTCCTCCCCCCTCCGCACACCCCAGTCCCATCCCCTACCTCCTGGGCAGTGCTGGGGTCAGGGGAGAGGCTCCACGCAGACCTGCAGAGAGAGGCAGGGCTTAGCAGGGCCGGGGTGCACTGTGCTGGCGAGCATGTCCAGGAATGCCCTGCGGGCGTGCCAGGCCATGGGGTTAGGGTGAGCACCCCTACTCCAGCATGCCTAGGCAGGGTCCTGGGCTCTACAGCACCCCATGTGTCTCTGTATCTCCTCCTCCTTTCCCTGCCAGAGCCTCGCTCTCTGCCCCCTGGCCTGGGCAGCCAGATTCTTAATCCAGCGACCTAGGAACATAGGGCTGGAAGGAACCTTCTGGGCCACTGAGTCCGGGTCCTGCTCTTGCAGCCAACCTGTTATAGGATCCTGGTTGGAAACTTACCCAGCTCCATCCTCAGGCCTGTTGGGGTGTTTGCCCACCACTCCTCCTACTGGGAGGCTGCTCCAGACCATCCCTCCTCTGCTGGGCACAAACCTTCTTCTCACATTCAGCCTCAGTGGATTCCTGGCCAGGTTATCCCCCATTTGTTCTTACGCCAACATTCATCGCTCATAAACCCCACTGTGATCATCCAGTCTGACCTCTGGCACCACAGGCCATAGGGCTGCCCTGAACTAATTCCCATTTGAACTAGGGCAAATCTGGACTTTTGTGGCCCTTTGCTAGACTGAAGAACCTTCTGTTGTCATGTCTGTTCTCCAGGCAGGTGCCTAGAGACTGGGAGCAAATTACCTCTTCACCTTCTCTTGGTTAAATGACAGCAACTGAGTCCTGCAGTCTCTCTCTGTACAGCATTGTACCGGTAAGGCATCAGGATAAGGCATTATTACCTGACAGCTGCCCCTGAGCCTACATGGAAACATTCCTCCAGATTAAGGCAGGGTGTAAATTTTAAATGGATTAACTATTCCTGATTAACTGCATATGTGGATGCTCTTGGACCAGGAGCAGAGTGCCTTGTTCCAGATTAGTTTAATCTGGATTAGGATAATTTGGGCTAAGGCACTCTGATTCTGAAATTAGGGTGTCCATACATGGAGTTAGGAATCATTAATCAGGAATAGCTCCTGAGTAGACAAGACTTTGGTGCCCAGGTGCAGCCCTGCGGGGCTCCAGGTTCGCTCCAGGGCTCTGTTCCTAGGGACAGTTCTTGTTGGTGCTTCCATCCCCAGTCAGAGAGAGCCGCAGCCATCCCGTCTCCCCTGCCCTGGAGGGGAAAGTAACCCTTTTCTGCCCATGGGATGGCAATCTCAAGGGCATGGGGAAACTGAGTCATACCTATTGTTCTTACAAATATGGCAGCAATTCCCACATTTTCCACAGGGTGATAACACACCCCCACCCCGGGTTTAGTCCAGTATCCTCCCCCACCCCCAGCTAATCATGCAGCCCTGTACCCCATGCCTTTGGGGTGATATTCCCAGCATCCTCTGCTCTCACCATCTGCGCAATTCCATCTCGCCATCCAATTCCATTCCTGCCTTGCCCTGCAATGGACCAGGAAGCGATTAATGGGGTGCCTCTCCCTCACAGCCCCTTTGCTGGAAGGGGGTTATCCAGAGGACTAGAGCTCTCCCAGATGCCACTGCCACCCCTCTGTGAATCGGGGCCCAGCACTCCCAGACACCCTCCTTGAAATTGAGACCCAGAGCCCCTTCCTGAATGGGGACCTCATGCCCACAGATTCCTACCCTTGAAACCAGGACCAGTGCCCCAGTTGCACCCCCCCTTGAAATCAGGATCCAACAGGCCCCCCCCGAACTGAGACATAGTGCCCCCAGATGCCTTCCTATCCATGTTGCATCCTCCATTGCGCCCCCCCAACCAGACGGATTTTGGGGGTGTCACCTCACATGTCCTGTTACCTGCTCTGTGTCCGGCTCATCTCCACTCTTCATGATGCCCCAGGGAACTGGGTGAGCTCAGTGCCTGAGACGCCGGGGGAGGGGAAGTGTCAGAGCTAGCAGCCCCCACCCAATCCCCCCCCTTTTAGCCCCCCCATGCCCTTGGTACCCAATCATCCCCACCCCAGTACTCTCATTGAGCCCCCACATCCTTCATGCCCCTTGCAGCCCAGTCACCCCTCCTGACATCTGCCTACCCCTCCACACATCCCTGCTAACCCACCAAACCCAGCCACACACCTCTGCCCCCCATTTACTCCTCCACTCCCCCTCTCATCAGACCCCCACCTACTTTGTGCCCCCCTTCACCCTTCCAGTATGGGGCACAAAGAGAAGCTGGAGTTTGGGGGGGTTAGAGACCACAATGACCATCCAAAAGGAAAGGATGGACTCACAGACACCCCACTCAGACCAGGACCCCGTGGTGCCCTGCGGTGACGCCATGGCAACAGGAGAACCCTGCGGGGCAACAGTCTCCCGGCCCCCACATCCCATTCCAGGGACTCTAGAATCCCTCACTTGCCCCCAGCAGAGCTGGGGGAGGAGGAGACTCACCCCCCAAGGTCCCCAATCCCCCACATCATACCTTGCACAGGTCCCCTGGGGGTGGAGGACCCCTGGGACGGGTGACACCCCCCACTCTGCGGCCCCACCTCCATCATGCTCCACTTACTTCCACTCCCAGCACCCCTTCTCCACTGCCCCCCATCAAACCCCCACAGCCCCTTGCCTCTGAACCCCCCTACACTTCTTCCATGCTCCCCAACCCCTCCTGGGCTGGTGCCTCCTGAGCCCCCCCTCCCTGAGGCACTGTGCCAGCCACCCCCACCCTGGACAGACACACAGATGCGGTGTCTCTCATTCAGATTTTGGTTTAATCTGGAAAATAAAAAACAAAACAAAAAATTGTCCATCGAACAGAGTCAAACAGGCACCTTTGTGTGTGTGGATGGGGGGGGGGGAGCGGCGACAGGACAGACAGACACACAGGGGGATCACTGGGTGGACACCCCCATTCCCTACACCACGGGGGGTGGGGAGGCAGCAGGGAACAGCATCGCCCCTTGTTTGGTTCAATAAACTCCCCCTAGTTGATTTGGGAGGGGTCACCCCCCAGGAGTTTGGGGGTTCTGAATATCATTTGGCAGTCTGATCCCTCCCCCTTTTGGGGGGGTCAAGGACCCAGCCCGCAAGGCAAATGAGGCACAGATTTGGGGGGAGACAGGGGTGTCCCCCACGAGCTGCCCCCCAGACACTCCAGGGGAGGGGGATAGTCTCTGAGCTGGGGTGGTAGGTGTCTGTGTGCAGTGGGGTTCCCTGTATTGGAGGGGGTCTCCTGGTACCAGGAAGGGGATGGGAGCAAATCCCTTTTCTGGGTGTGGGTGGGGTCTGGTGCTGGGGAGGGACAGTTGGCACCTTGAGGGGACCATGGAGGATGGTGTCTCTGTGCCAGGGGTGCTCAGCTGGTACCGGGGTGGGGGAGGCAGTCTCAGTGCTGCGTTGGCAGTTTGGCAGCAGGGGGGCAGTTGGCATCACAGGGGATGGGATGTCTCCATGCTGGGGGTCCAGTTGGTACCATGAGGGATGGGAGGTCTGTGTTGGGGGGCCCCATTGGTACCATGGGGGACAGGTAGGCCCAGCTGACAGCCGGGGGGGCAGTCTCTATGCTGTTGGGGGCCCAGGTAGCACCATGCTGCAGGGGGGCAGTCTCCGTGCAGGGGTCGCTCCACTCCCCTCTAGACTGCCTCGCCCTTGTGGCGAGTGCGGCTCAGCAGGTCCATGGGCAGGCCGGGGGGCTGGCCGTGGGTGTGGCGGGTACGCAGGCGGCGGAGTTGGCGGGGGCGCTTGGCCTGCAGCCCCCCTTCGCTGGGCGCCTCGCTCTGGGTGTCGGAGCTCTCATCGATGAAGGCCAGGTTCTCCCCCATGTAGTCTATAGGGCGCAGGCCACCCCCCGCTGAGGCGGCCATGTTGCGGGCGTTGAGCTGCGCCACCTGCAGGGCGGTGCTGGGAGAGGGGAGCTCCGGGCGAGGCAAAGGAGGTGGTGGAGAAGGCGTGGCAGGTGGAAGCTCCGGGGGCATAGGGGAGGGTGGGTGTCCCTTCAGCGTCCCCACTTTCTGAAGCTTCTCGGGCAGCCCCATGCCCGTCACCCGCAGCTGGGCCGTTACATTCCCTGTCCAGCTGGCAGCCTGCGCGGTGAGGCCCCCCATCTGTAGGTTGAGAGGGGAATCAGGGACAGGCAGGGAAATCTCACCGAGCCCCCCCACATCCCTCCACTGATCACCTCAACATACACCCCAGCCCCTCAGCCTGCAGGGTGAGACCCCCCCACCATCTGTGGGGAGAGTGGGGGGGGGTCAGGGAACCCATCCAAGCCCTTCCACTGACCCCCCTCCACTTCCACCCTGACTCCCACATACTTACTCCTCCCCACCCCATCCCTTCCCACTGACATGCCCCCTCTCCACATGAACCACTCCTCCCTTCCCCCACCCATCCATTCTGCTGGATAGGGGGGTGTCAGGCTGACCCCCACATCCACTCCCTCACCTATGGGCACGCCCTGGGGTCTGTGTACAGGATGTGAGGGGAGGCTCTTTTGGAGGGGGTGCATGCTAGGGTGTGTGTGCAGGGTGGGTACATAGCCTTTGTGCACCAGGACAGCACCCGCCAGTGGGTGTATCTTGTGGGGGTGGGGTGGAGCAGTGACGGAGTCCACAGGGGGATGCAGGGGCCGTGGGAGGGGTCAGATGGAGGGGTCGGTTGGGGGGTGGGGAAGACCCATCTCAGCCCATGTGTGCCGGGTCAGCACCCCCAGCAAGTTGTCAATGTGGGGTCCTTTGAGGGGTTGGAAGGGGTGGTGGTTGTGAAGGGGTCTGTAGTGGGGTACCAACCCTGGCATGTGTATGCTGGGACAGTACTCGCAGCCAGTTGGGGGTGCCGTGGGGGGGTCATAGGGATGGGGTGGGGACACCATAGGGGGATGCAAAGTCTGTGGGAGGATGCAAAGGGGTGTCGGAGGGCAGGGGATAGTGGGAGTCTGTGGGGAGTTGGAGAGTTGGGGTGAGGGACAGTGAGGAGGTTAGAGAGGTGAGGGGGATAGGAGGTCTGTGGGTGACAGGAGGAGACAGTGGGGAGTCCATGGGGGGATGCAAAGGGGAGGCAGTAAGGGGGATGGAGGGGCAAGACAGTGTGGGGGTTCGTAGGGGGAGCTGGAGGGATGGGGGGCAGGAGGCAGTGGGGGCTCTGTGGGGGGGTTGGAGGGGCAGGATGATGGAAAGTAGGGGGGTTGGAGGAGTGGGGGGCAGAGGAGCACAGCAGAGGGGAGTCCGTCAGGGGTCCATGAGAGGATGCAAAAGGGGACAGTGAGTGGGTCAGAGGGGCAGGGTACTGGGGGTTCCGTGGGAGGGTAAGGGGCAGGATGGGTGGCAAGGAGGGGATCTGAGGGATGGGGGAAGTGAGGGGATCAGAGAGGCAGGGTGGGGGAAGTGCGGGGTACCAACCTCGGCCCGTGTGCGACGGGACAACACCCGCAGCCAGTTGCCAATCATGGTGAGGATGGAGGCGAAGTAGGCCAGGCCCAGCAGGATCCAGAACCAGACCAGGGGCTTGTACCAGGGGTGCTTGTCCCCCATACCATCACCTGGGAGGGGAGATGCTGAGACACTGCCCCCGAAACACACAACCTCCTCGCTGCACCGGCTGTGCCTTCCCTGCCCCTCTCCCCCATCACTCCATTGCCCCCAATCCTCCTGCCAGCCCCTCTCCACCCGCTTCCCTCTGCCCCCTCCCTATCCTCCTTTCCCTGTACCAGGCCCCCCTGGCCACATAAGAATGGCCAATGGTCCATCTAGACCAGTATCTTGTCTTCTGACAGTAGCCCATACCGGAGCTTCAGGGAGAGTATACAGAACAGGGCAATTTGGAGAGATCCACCTGTCTGCCCCTCCTGGCTTCTGGCAGTTGGAGGGTTAAGATTGCCCTAAGCATGGGGTACATCCATCCCTGACCATCTTAGCCAATAGCCAGCGATGGACCTATTTTCCATGAACTTATCTAATTCTTTTTTGAACCCAGTTATACTTTTGGCCTTCACAACATCTCATGAGAGGTTGACTGTGCCTTGTGTGAAGAAGTATTTCCTCTGGTTTGTATTAAACTTGCTCCCCATTAATTTCAATCAGTGACCCCCTGGTTTTTGTATTGTGTGAAAGGGTAAATAAGACTTCTCTATTTTTCTACACCAGTCATGATTTTGTAGACCTCTATCATATCCCCCCCCACCCTTGATTGTCTCTTTTCTAAGCTGAACAGTCCTAATATTTTTAGACTCTCCTCATATGGAAGTTATTCCATACCCTTGATCACTTCTGTTGTCCTTTTCTGAACGTTTTCCAGTTCCACTATATATCCTTTTTGAGATGGGGCAACCAGAACTGGATACAGCATTCAAGGTGTGGGCACATCATGGATTTATATAGTGGCATTATAATAATTTTCTGTCTTATTTTCTATCCTTCCTAGCATTTTGTTAGCCTTTCTGACCACTGCTGCACATTGAGCTGAAGTTTTCAGAGGACTACCCACAATAACTCCAAGATCTCATTCTTGAGTGGCAACATCTAATTTAGACCTCATCATTTTGTATGTGTAGCTAGGATTATGTTTCACAGTGTGCATTACTTTGCACTTACCAACGCTGAATTTCATCTCCCATTGTCTTGCCCACTCATGCAGTTTCGTGAGATCCCTTTGTAACTCTTCGCAGTCTGCTTTAGACTCAACTATCGTAAGTAATTTTTTATCATCTGCAAACTTTGCCATTTCACTGTTCACTTCCCTTTTCCAGATCATTAGTGAATATGTTGAATAGCACAAGTCCCAGTCCCTCGGGGGACCCCGATATTTACCTCTCTCCATTCTGAAAACTGACCATTTATTCCTACCCTTTGTTTCCTATCTTTAAACCAGTTACTGATCCACGAGAGAACCTTTTTTCTAATCCCATGACTACTTTTTTCTTAAGAGCCTTTGGTGAGAGACCTTGTCAAAGGCTTTCTGAAAATCCAAGTACACTATATCAATTAGATCACCCTTATCCACATGCTTGTTGACCCCCTCAAAGAATTCTTGAGTCATGAGCCACAACTTCCCTTTACAAAAGCTGTGTTGACTCTTCTCCAACAAAGTGTGTTTATCAGTGTTAACTGATAATTCAGGTTTTTTTACTATAGTTTCTACCAGTTTGCCCAATACTGAAGTTAGGCTCACTGGCCTGTAATTGCCAGGATCACCTCTGGAGCCTTTTTTTAAAAATCGGCATTACATTAAGGTTTCCTCCAGCCATCTGGCACAGAGGCTTGTTTCAGTGACGGATTACATACCACAGTTAGTAGTTGTGCCATTTCATGTTTGAGTTCCTCCAGAACTCTTGGGTGATACCAGCTGGTCCTGGTGACTTATTACGGTTTAATTATCAATGTGTTCTAAAATCTCTTCCACTGACACATCTGTGTAATAGTATTTCAAATGTATCACCCAAAAAGAATAGCTCTGATGGGGGTATCTCCCCCACATCCTCTGGAGTGAAGACTGATGCAAAGAATCCTTTTAGCGTCTCTGCAATGGCCTTGTCTTCCTTGAGTGCTCCTTTAACACCTTTGTGGTCTGGCCCCACTGCCTGTCTGACATGCTTCCTGCTTCTGATGTACTTCAAATAAATTCTTACTCTTAGTTTTTGCGTCTTTAGCAAGTTGCTTCTCAAGTTCTTTCTTGGCCTGTCTTATTACACTTGTACCCTTAACCAGCCTGAGTTTGTTGGAACTCATTGGAATTTGATTTCCAAAGTTTAAAGGGTGCTTTTTTGCTTCTAACAGCCTCCAATATTCTACTGTTGAGCTATGGTGGTATTCTTTTGGTCCTCGTATTGTCTTTTCTGATTTGGGGTATACATTCACTATGACCCTGTATTATGGAGTTTTTAAATAGTTTCTGCTGCTTGCAGGCATTTTACCCTTGTGACAGCTCCTTTTAATTTCCATCTAACAAGTGTCCTCATTTTGTGTAGTTCCCCTTTTTAAAGTTAAATTTTACTGTAGTGGGATTTTTTGTGTGTGTATTATCTCCCTACAGAGATGTTAAATTTAATTACATTATGGTCGCTATTACTGAGCAGTCCTGCTATAATTAGCTCTTGGACTACATCCTCTGCTCCACTTAGGACATCACACCTCACCACCCACCTTCCCTGTCATCCGCTCCTCACACCTCCCACAGTGGGACCCACCAGGGGCTCTCTCACACTAACCCCCCCCCACAGTAGGCTGCTCCCCGCTCCCCTTTCCTTGTCCCCCATGAAGCCCAGCTTCCACTGAGCCCCCCTCCTGCCCACCACCAACAGCCTCCCCCATGTAGATCCTCCCATGCCTACCTGCCACATAGTCCCCGAAGCCGACGGTAGTCAGCGTGATGACCACGAAGTAGACAGATTCCAGCAGGGTCCAGCCCTCCACTCGCTGGAACACAATGGTGGGGATGGTGACGAAAAGGATGCAGCCAATGAGGATGAAGAGCAGGGCGGAGAGAACCCGCACGATGGTGGGACTCACCTGCCATTTCTGGGAGGGAGGAGACAGCATCAGGGGAGGACCAGGGGAAAGCCCCCTCCCCACAGACTGTGCCAGCCCCCCCCCACGCACACTCTGACCCCCGAGAGGGGAACCCCCACCACCACCACACACACCAACCCCTTTGCCCCTCACATACACTAATTCCTCCCAACACACACACACTCACTCCTTTGCCCCCCTCACACAGCCCCCTGGCAGTAGAGGTGCCACCTGGCCAGGTTTTGTACTGCTTTGCCAGGTAGAAGATTTTCTGTGCTGGGTTTTTTCACTTGAGACATGCCAAAGCACTCTACAATCCATGCCTTGTAGTTTGGACTGTGGCCCGTGTTAGGATGAGGTAAGAAAAATGATAAAAGACATCCACGCAGTGTGCAGCGGCAGTCAAAAAAGCAAACAGGATGTTAGGAATCATTAAAAAAGGGATAGAGACTAAGACAGAGAATATCTTATAAATATAAATCCATGGTACGCCCACATCTTGAATATTGCGTACAGATGTGGTCTCCTCATCTCAAAAAAGATATACTGGTATTAGAAAAGGTTTAGAGAAGGGCAACGAAAATGATTAGGGGTTTGGAATGGGTCCCATATGAGGAAAGATTAAAGAGGCTAGGACTCTTTGTCTTGGAAAAGAGGAGACTAAGGGGGGATATGATCGAGGTATATAAAATCATGAGTGGTGCGGAGAAAGTGAATAAGGAAAAGTTATTTACTTGTTCCCATAATATAAGAACTAGGGGTCACCAAATGAAATGAATAGGCAGCAGGTTTAAAACAAATAAAAGGAAGTTCTTCTTCACACAGCGCACAGTCAACCTGTGGAACTCCTTGCCTGAGGAGGTTGTGAAGGCTAGGATTATAACAGCGTTTAAAAGAGAACTAGATAAATTCATGGAGGTTAAGTCCATTAATGGCTATTAGCCAGGATGGGTAAGGAATGGTGTCCCTAGCCTCTGTTTGTCAGAGGGTGGAGATGGATGGCAGGAGAGAGATCACTTGATCATTACCTGTTAGGTTCACTCCCTCTGGGGCACCTGGCATTGGCCACTGTCGGTAGGATACTGGGCTGGATGGACCTTTGGTCTGACCCAGTATGGCCATTCTTATGTTCTTATGTAAAATAACATAAAAATATACAGATTGCGTGGGGGTTGTTTGTCTGTTTTGTAAAACGGTTCTCTAATGCATTCTAGTAATACCTATAATGGGCACTAGGACCCTTTTTCTTAACGGGGGGCGTGGCTAGTGGCCGGGTTCTGGTGGTGCTGTGACCAGTGGACCGGATTTTGTTGTTGATTGACGGGGTGACAGCCAGGGGCTGTGATTTGTTAGGTGGCAGGGTGGCCAGAGGCTGGGTTTTCTGCACCTTGGAGGTGGCCACCCTACTCAGGAGGGGAACTGTGCCACACAACCCTGGGGAAAGGACCCTCCCCCCACCTCCGGGAAGGGAATCCCTGGAACCCACAGGGTGGGGGCAGAGAGTGTTGGGGGAGGAAACAGACTGGGGAGCCCCCTGGGACAGGAGCCCCAAACCAAGCTGGCCCCACAAATGGGAGAGATCTAGTGCTGGGGAGCAGAGCCAGGCTCCCGGTCCCAGTATCTGACCTCTCCTCTGCAGCACCCCTGCTCTGCACACAGCCCGGAGAGTGGGTGCAGGGGTATGTGGGGGGACTGCTGGGGGAGCACAGGAGGCTGGGAGACCAAGGAGGACAGTGGAAGCCACTGTAGCTGCTGGACATGAGGGGTTGGAGCGGAGGAAGCACTGACGACCCTGGAGCTGCTGGGTACATGGGCCCTGGCTCTGTGGGGACAGGGGGACAGGGACTCAGAGGGCACTCACCAGGAAGATATCCTCCACCTTGCCGATGGCCTGGCGCAGCGAGAAGCCCAGGTGGTCGCCTACCCCAGCCAGCAGCATCCCGAAGAGCGGGATCCCAACTAGAGCGTAGAAGATGCAGAAGAGACGCCCCCCCTCTGTCTTGGGGGATGTGTTACCGAACCCTGGGGGGGGTGGGGGAGAGCATGGAGTCAGCAGGGAGGGGGCAGAATTGATGCCCCTTAATCCTGAACTGCAGCTCCCTGCTATCGCAGCCCTGAGCACCCCCCCACCTCTGCCCTCAATCCCTACCCGCAGCACACACACATCCCACGGGCCAGTACCGATGGTGGTGATGACGGTGCCAGCGAAGAAGAAGGCGCTGCCCATGTCCCAGTTGGTGCTGGTGCCATTGGTGCTGTTGGCTGTGGGGTCAGCACCGGCACCCATGGTGTCTCTGACATGCTGGGGGAGATGGGAAGGGGTTAATACTAGTGGTTTTGGGTTCCCCCCATCATGCAGCTCCTGCTGTCCCCTCCCCACATCCTTACCCCCGAACTTGGCTTTCCCAGTACACATTTGCCAACCCTTTCCTAACTGCCCCATGGCTGTTGTCCCCAGACACCTGACTGCCCCCCACCCCACCCCACTTTCCCCTTCCTCTCCCCATCTCCCCCTGGAAACCCTCCATCAGCCTCACCCCACCCCATTGCCCCCCAAATCACCCCAACCTGCATCTGCTTCTGCCCCACCCCAATGACACCTGCCCCCCCCCACCCTTCCCATTCCTCCAGGACTGTCCCTCCCCATCTACCCCTTACAACCATCCCCTCCTGCCCCCCCATTGACAACTCTGATTTCAGCCAATCTCAGGAGTTTTCCAGCCTGCCCCAAGGGTGAGGGTGAAAAGCCCCTGTGATTGGCTGCCCTTCTCCCACTTTCTCCACCTCCTGGGAAGGGCAGCCAATCAGGGCTGCTGCAGGAGGCAGGTGATGCTCTCCCTCCCCCACAAGAGATATCAGCTAGAGAAGTGGGGGTGGGGGGAGAGAAGGAGCAGGGGACAGGAGGGAAGTGGGGAGCAAAGGAGAAAGAGCCCAGCAGCTTAGAGCAGCCCTGCTCACCCCTCCAGCCCTGCCCCTCCCAGACTGGGGGAGGGTGACAAGCCCCATGGATCTGCAAGAGGAGGGGGGCAGATGTAGGAGGCCAGGGAGGGAATTAATTTCTGGACTGGGGGGGACAGAATTAATTCATTAGGATTTTAGGAAAAGCTGGAGGCTCTGCACGATCCCTGAGTCAGCGAGAGCCTCTCTCTCTTTAGGAACTGGCAGCGGTGTAACTGAGGGGACTTTCAGTGGTGGCCATAGCACTTCCCATCACCCCCACCAATGCCTGCTCCCCCCTCCCCCATGCCCCACTCCTGCTCCCCTCTTTCCCCCATCCACCCCACCCCGTCCCCATCCACGCCCCACACCTTCCCCCTCCATGCCCCTCTCCCACCATCTCACCAGGATGAGTGTGTCCAGCTCCTGGCTGGGCACGCAGCGGTATCTCTGCAGGAACTGCTCACGGGCGACCTGCAGTGCCTCCTGCTGGCGGCTCTCATGCGGCTGCTCCAGGAGGCGGAACACGAAGGCGCCGCTCACCAGGTAGACCAGCACCACGGTCAGCAGGGCCAGCACCGTAGCCCGTCGCATCACGCTGCCCTGCCCACTACGGGGTGTCTGCCCCACCCCCGCCCCACTCAGGATCGACTCCTTAGACGAGTAGCAGACAGGCAGTGTCCCATGGTTCTCGGCAGGGTGGGGGGCTGCAGGAGTCAGGGGGGAGCTCACTGCAGGGAGAAGATGGGGGTGAGTGTGGGGGGAGGCCACCCCAATACCACCCATACCCCATAATCTCCAGTGCAGATATCCCCATTGCACCCTAATACCACCCACACCCCATCCCAATACACCCATAACCCAATAGCCCCCACTGCAGAGTCCCCCATTACATCCAAATACCATCCATAGCCCCCCACCCTGATATGCCCCACCCATACCCCCACTGTATAGAGACCCCCATTATACCCTGATACTACCTATAGCCCCCCATTGCAATAAGCCCCACCCATACCCCAATAGCCCCCACTGCAGAGACCCCCCCATTACACACCAATGCCACCCATAGGCCCCCACCCAATACACCCCACCTATAACCCAATAGCCCCCACTGCAGAGAGACCCCCATTATACCCCAATACCACCCATAGCCCCCCCACTGCAATAAGCCCCACACATACCCCAATAGCCCTCACTGCAGAGAGACCCCCCAATACTACCCATAGCCCCCTATTCTGATACACCCTACCCATACCCCCATCCAATACGCCCCACCCATAATCCACTCCCCCTCACTGCAGAGACAGCCCATTACATCCCAATACCGCCCATAGCCCCCGACCCTGATACGCCCCACCCATACCCCAATACCTCCACTGCAGAGACCCCATTACACCCCTGATATCCCTATATACCCCATTCATACCCCCAATAACTCCCACTGCATACAGACCCCCATTACACCTGATACCCAGATGGTCTCCCTCTGATATCCCCCACCCATACCCCAATCTCCACTACATATAGACCCCCAGAGGTCCCACTCCAATACGCTCCACCCATACCACCATAACTCCTACTGCTTAGAGATCCTCATAGTCCCTACCCTGATACACCCCATCCATACCTCCAATAACCCCACTATGTAGAGACCCTCCAGTATACCCAATACCACTCATAGCTTCCACCCTGATATGCCCCTTTTGCCCCCGCCAATAAACCCCCTTCTTAGAGAACCCCAACCCAATATGCCACACCCAGTAGCCCATAGTGCTTTGGGGCAGTGGCTCACTGGGGTGGGGGATGGGAGGAGTGTGGACAGATGCCTACCCCGCATAGTCCCTACTGCATAGAGACACCCATTACACCCACATATCCCCAATATCCCCACCCCAGTACCCCATGCATAGGGGGCTTTGGGGGTAGCTTTCTGTGGGGAGGGGACACAGGCAGAGTCCAGAGAAAGACACCCTCCTTCTGCCAACTCCCCATATCCCCCACTGCACAGACATCCCTCTATGCCACCTCCCACCCCCAGTGCCATGTGGTGTTCCAGGGGGTGGCTGGGGGTAGCTCACTGGCAGGGGGAGACCACTCCCACAGCACCACACCCATCTTCCTCCAACAACCCCCCCTACACAAAGACCCTCCATCCTCCACCTCCAAATGCCCATGGTGCTTGGCAGGGCAAGGTGAGAAGAGACACCCCTTTTTCCCACCCCCATAACATAGAGAAATCCCAGTTCCCCCAAATACCCCCAATACCTATGCTACTCCGGGAGATGGGGTACCTCACAGCAGGCGGAGGGGTGTGGGGGAATATACCCCCTCCTTCCCCCCATTCCCAACCTGATACCCTCCCATCCCCCATCCCCTCTGCCGCCCCGTCCACCCCCGCTCTGCCTCAGCCCCCAGGGTGCCCATGGGGGGGGGTAGGTTGCTCATTGCAAGGGGATGACAGGGAGTGGGAGCATCACGCGAGACCCCCCTGTCCCCCCTCCATACCTTATGGTGCTCGGCGGGAGGGCAGCGAGAAGGCGGGTTGAGAAGCTGCACTGACACCCCGGCCCTGCCCCCCCCCCTTGGGATCCCCCCAGCGCCGCTTGGAGCCGGAACCTCTGCCCAGAGGGTCCCCCCCTCACAGAACACCCCCCCCAGCCGACCCCGCTCCCCCACGGACAGACGGGGCGAGCCAAGGAGCTCCGGGGGGGGGGGGCTCCGCCACCTCGCTGCCTCCCCCGGCCGGCCCCAGCTGGGCAGCAGCGCGCAGTGCGCACCCGGCGGGGCGGCCAGGGGCTGCGGTGGATGGAGCGGGGGGGCAATGAGACGGCGCCGGGGCTGCTGCCAGGAGATGCTGTAGCTGGAGGAGCCGAGCTTAAAGGGGCAGGAGCAGCCGGGTGTGTGCTCAGCTGCCCATGGAGGTGGGGTGACCAGATAGCAAGTGTGAAAAATCAGGACGGGGTGGGGGGGTAATAGGAGCCTATATAAGAAAAAGCCCCAAATATCGGGACTGTCCCTAAAAAATCGGGACATCTGGTCACCCTACATGGAGGTGGGGGGAAGGGCACCGCGGGGGGAACCCCCATCCCGAACCAGGGCCCCACAGGGGGCGGTTGTTAACCCCGGTGGGTCGGGGGGAGGGGTTAACCCCAATCCTAGGGATCCCAGATGGGGAGGGTCTTGGGGGAGTTAACCCCAGTCCCGGGGGCCCCACACGTAGGGGATACACTGTACTCTGCCTTGCGGAGGGCGCGGGGGTCTCCCTCCCCCGCCCCGCGGGAAAGGCTGCCCCACTCACCTGGGTGCCATGCAGAGCCAGACCCTACAGTAGCTGGGCTCCAGGGAGCGACGGAGGGGGCTGAGTCTCCCGGCCCCTCCCAGTCGGGTGCGTGGGGGGGGGGAATCTGCCTGGTGCACAGCTGGCTCTGTGCCAGCCCTCCCCCATCCAACCTGTCAGCCGGAGCCCAATTAACGGGAGCCTTTCAATTAGCTCTGCCCCGCCAGAGCCTGGTGCCGCCACCGCAGGTTTGGCACTGCACAGGGGCCGCCAGCCAGCGTCCGTGCCCGGCCTGCCAGCCCGGCCTCTCCCGGCAGAGGGCTGCAGGGAGCGGAGCAGGAGCGCTAGCTGCAGGGGGAGCTCCCGGCTACTCCAGTCCTGGCCTCTGCCTGTAGGGGGCGTTGTACACGGCCCTCTGTCGCCCCCTGTGGTGCGCGCGCGCGCACACACACACACACACACACACACTTATCTCATACACAGAGTGAGGTTCGTTCTCTCCAGCATGGGGTGACAGACATACATGGTGCCTCTCTTACACCCCCCGTGTCACACATTGTATCTCACACGCATCCCTGTGTCTGTGTCTCATGCATAAACTATCTCACACACCCTATCACACACTGTAGCTTACACACTGTAACACCCCATCTCATACACATCCCTGTGCCTGTCGCTTGTACTTGGACTGTCTCACACAGCATCACACATTGTATCTCACACACACACTGTCCCACCCCATCTCCCTGTCTGTCTCCCGTACATGGACTCTCTCACACACCACACTGTATCACCCCATCTCACATGGATCCCTATGTCTATGTCTCATACACAAACTGTCTCACACACCCTGTCACACAGTGTAGCTCACACACTGTCCCACCTCTTGTCACACGCATCCCCGTGTCTGTCTTTCATACTTGGACTGTCTCACACAGCATCACACATTGTATCACACACACACTGTTCCACCGCATCTCACACGCATCCCCGTGTCTGTCTCCCGTACATGGACTCTCTCACACATTACATATTGTATCATACACACACTCTTACACCCTATCTCACACGCATCCCCATGTCTGTGTCTCATACACAAACTGTCTCACACACCCTGTCACACACTGTAGCTCACACAGTCACACCCCATCTCACACACATTCCCGGCTGTCTGACATGTCACACACTATCTCACACACACACAAACACACACGTCTCTCACACATTTGACACACTCCAGATAAAGCCACTGCCGCTCAGCCGAGTTGGTCCCCCAGCCTTCATCACCCTGCCCAGTGTGGGCAGTGGGGCACAGGGTTCCGGGGGAAGGGATGGATGGATGGAGTGGTACCCGCCCGAGCATCCCCCCTCCCCCTATATCCCTGTATCACTCACTCACTCGCTAGCAGCAGCAGCAGCAGCGGCTCCTCCCTGCACTGGGATCTGGCAGACAGGTGCAGCCTCCTCCCTCACTCCTCCCCCCCCCAGGAGGGGGCAGCTGCTGGCCTGCCTCCCCCCCCACGTTGGCCCCCAGCTGCCAGGAGCCTCCCCATCTCCGCCCAGCCACAGCCAGAGGGGGCCGGAGCCTCAGGCTGCAGGAGCTGCAGATTGGGGGGGGCTGTTAACCCTTTTGGGGGGGACAGCATGGAGGGGGACAGTGCACGGAGAGGGGACAGGCTGGTACCAGCACAGGGTACCCAGGGGGACAGAGGTGGGGACACATCCCTTTGCCATGGGATTCTGGGATGATTTTTTAGGATAGAGGGGTTCCCCTTGCTGGGGATTCCCTGGGATGGTGCAACCCCCAAAGCCCCCCAACACTGCTCCCTCCCTGGCCCCAGAGGAGGGAGCAGGACTCCTAGGTTCAATTCTTAGCTGCTCCACGTCCCCTCTCTGTGCCCGTTTCCCCCCCCTGCAGAATGGGGTGGGGACACTACTGTCCCTCTGCCTGCAGATGCCTGGGTTCTGTGTGGGGGGGGCTGTTATAACACTCTCTCACCCAGAAGTGCTGGAGACCTGCACAGGAGGGGGGTGTCTCCAGCCCAGACTAGCTTGGGAGCAATGCAACTGCCAGACCCCAATGTTGGAAAGAAGCAAGCAGGAGCTGCCTGAAGCTGAGGCAAGGAACTTTATTGGGGCCGGGGGAGACAGAGTTACATATAAACCCAGAGCTGGGGCGGGCGGGGGGGAAAGACTCCCTGTGCTGCACCCCCTCTCTCTGAGGAACTTCTGCTGAGCCCCTCTCGGGGGGATGACTCAACATAGCAGCTCCTCCAAACTTTGGGTGGGTGGACACAACCCGCCCTTTGATTCCCTGAGCCATGAAGAGAGG